AGAGAGAGAGAGAGAGAGAGAATCGTGTTGCCTCTTGCTTCGATGACATTTTTGGCCGTGTCAAGCTCCTTGTTGCCTAGATTGTGCCGTATTCCCACTGAGAACAAACATTCCTCCTACCCCTAACCGGGGAACGATAGCCTTTGGCAAAACACCCTGCGCCGTACCAAACAAACGGATTCTCGGGGTAATGATTGGATTTTCTTTTATGCCACATGGCTTGGGAAATGCACCCTCGAATCATCTCGAATCTGAAACCACCGGCTAGTGTCTTGACCGAAATCACATGTTAAATTCACAAGACACGCTGTTTCAGCTGGGAATCCATCTTGAGCTTTCGCACCCTTGCAACCGCCCGCAGGAGGAGGCGGGCAAATTGCCGGGGAGCCTGACAAGCCCCCTATGCCTGGGAGAAGAAGAAGAAGAGAGAGAGAGAGTCCCCTTTACCCTAGCCTTGGCAAAAGAAAGAGAGACAGAGCAGGGGGTCAGGGTTACATAGACTTCGCGCCTTTCCTTCGGATTGAAGGTGACGAAGTTCCACCGCCTGGTGACCAGATCATCTTTGAGCAAGCATTTCAGCGACTTCCCCGAGGAGCTTCAAGATGGGCAGGCAGCTTTGGCTGACTAGCAGCCTGAGGAACTGTGTGCATTATGGCATTGTTGCTGGGGCGATCCAGCTCAGGCAATCTTTGTCATCAAGCCGTTTTCCGCCAAGAAGATCACCTGGGACTTGCTGATTTGTTGTATCGTCCTGCATGATGGCATCGTGCTGCCGCTGCAGCTGTTGGGCATTGAGGTTTCCACGCCGCCTGACAGCAAATGCTTCTGCTCTACTTTGTAGAATCAATTGATTGGGTGGACCAGAGCACACGCAGATGTCTCAATCACATCAAGACAAGTCTGCCTCTGTATCAGGTCCGATATGCTGGCATGGCCACTCACGCTGGCCTGGACTGTTGACTTGGTCGTGTCTAGCATCATCACCTTCGAGCGCATCCTGAGTGCACGGACGTGGGCTGTTTAGGGAGCTTCTGTGTGAACTATGGGTTCTATAGCGCATATTCTATGCAACACACTATATAATATCCGCGTTCTGCTACCTTGTATATATCATCATACATTTTATGCCTTATATATTGTGTATTTTCGATTTTTCGCATTTTGGTTTTGTCACACTATACGATAAGTTATATGTTACATATCTGGACTTTCCAGTTATATAGCCTACATGATATGTATGACGCATGATGTGTTATGTAGCATGTAGTTGTGGTACGCAGTGTACAGAACAAATGTACACATTAAAGTTGTCAGATTTTTTGCAGTACATAATGACATTAGATACAAGATGTTAGATGCTAGGCAGTTGCCACTCGTTATTATCTTTGCGATGTCATCTATATATATATATATAACATACACACACACACATATATATATATGTACGTATATAT